TGTATAAATGTGCTCATTAAATTCTAATCACTTGAATCTTCTAACTCCATTGCCTCTCAGTTTTTGTTCCTCACCCCCTAGCAATTCTTATTTTCACACCTAAATTGACTTCCTCATTATGACAGGCTTTTCATGCTACTACACAGTTTGCTCCTTTAACACTCGGGCAACCTTTGCCCACAAGAACTAACTAGTTTTATTCTTGTATTAGAAATGTTATTTGTTCTCATCTATGTTACTCAAGAGACTTCAATTATAACTGCAACGCACGTGACCGTAATGGTAACAACCATGTAATTCAATCATTGCTTTAGCGTGCAAGTTTTCATCGCTATTTCCTTCACGCATTAAGTCCCCACATAGTAAATAGTAAGACTAGAGTAGCGTGCGGATGCAGGTAATTACAGCACATACCGTCACAGAAAGGCGCAAGTACTGAAGAAAATTCAACAAATAATATGCGCGTAATGCATGGGCATGAGCATGGGCAAACGACTTTTGTCATTAGTCGTCTTCCGTGGTCTTTTATGATTCACAAGAAACAAGAATGAATCGATTTCGTCTCAACAATTTTCCCAGACGGTCAATTAGATTCTATGTAGTGAAACGTCCTCTCTTTGAAATGCCACGAAATGGTTGCGTTTCAAAAGAAGTTTTGACGCTAATTAAAAGATAGGATGTAATATTATCTAATATAAAATGGAAAGCATTTTCCAGGTATTAGTTAGTATTTAATTTTGAGAAAGGCGTTCGGACCCCGCAATTATTATGACGTGTCGTAAAATATGGGACGGACGGGATAAGAAATGGACAACTGATGAGAAATAAATATTTTTGTTTATACTACCATCAATGCGCGACAAACTAATATTAATGATGCAAAAGGTATTTCTGAAAATCTAGAGAGAGAAAATTGTGACAAACAGGCTAAACACACACCAGAAAATTATTTCCGATGGGCGTTACATTATAATAACAGACGAACTAAAGGTATTACGTGTAGTAGCCACTGAAGTTCACAAGATTGGAATTGCATAATTAATACAGAGATACTATATGCAATTTATTGAATACAGATGTTCTCAAATAGATGCCTTGCTCTCATCGATAATTTACTTACTGCAACACTTTAAGTTAGAAATTAAATTTCTCACTTCATGGGGACAGGTACGTCACTTGTGCGTATTAGTGTGCATGGTATGAAGATGAGATAACACAGCCCTTCTTGCAGATTAGTTCTCGTACATTAGTGAAAAAATTATAAAGCTATGTACCCTCGCCATTGTAGGAATTAGCATTTGGCTCTTTTCATTCAGGAAAGGAGGTTGTTGGCAAAAAATCACCTGTACAATGAGTAGTAATCGGGTCATTTGCGTAGGTTTATATTTAAAGTTTTTATTCTGTTTTCCAGCAGATTTTAAACAACAAAAATAGTGAAAGAAAATAGTGGTTTGAAAATTAGCTGGCAGAATATACGGCATCGTTATTATTATTGTTGTTTGACATGTTGCAATCGCTAAAACTTTAAATAATTACCTGTATTTTCTAAGTGCTTTTTCTGAAGAGTGGATAAAAAAAATAATATTACCTACAATAATAGCAAAGTTATTCCAGTACGCGACATATTACAACACTAATAGACTCGTCCTAGGAGCCTTGATGCTGCATGACGTCATTTGTGTCGTAAGGAATGGTTCACTGGAAGGAGAATTTAGCCGATTCTAGTAATATGAGAATAGGTTGAAATAACCTATCATATATTCCCATTTTTCAGACAAAATCGAAATTGCTTCATAATTTTTAGTTATTCCACGAGTTTCTGGGCATTTAACGAAACTATAAATACTTCTCACATGGCCAGAGACTACATAGTTTTCATTAAATTTCTGCTTCATCGATCAATTATTTCCCATTTCCGAGCATGTCAGTTATTATGGTCATTAGTTCCGTTAGTATAGTATTTGTTCTTGTATTACGAGAGGAGACAGTGATCTTTCCCTGCTGGATTGCGAGATCCAGTGCCAACGTACTCATCGCGTCGGCTTGGGAGTCTTCCCCAACCACGCATCTCCCACCAGCAAGGCACCGTCCCAGCCGGGCCATGCTCGAAGCTCCCGACTGGACTCCCGATATCCGTGGTAGTGTAGTACATAAACTTATGTAAGTAAGAGGTGCGTATATAGCAAGGAAGTGAAAGGATCGCGCGTATTTCGTGGCCCGTTTGTTGATACTGCTCCGGAATTAGCATGATGTTGATCGGAGAAACCATCGCAAACGTATGATCAGAGTACCCGGCCGCCAGAATTCCAGACAGCAGCTGAATTCGACCTAGCTAGTGTCGACAATCCTACCACCATCGAGACTTCTATCCAACGATCTCGCGGTAAAAAGTACTGTTAAATTTCTACGCACATTGGAAATCAGTAATATACTGGTTGCCTGCAGCTGAAAAAATGCTGCTGAATGAAACCACACAAAATGATTTTCGAAAAAGTAGCACTCTTACTCCTCAAGAACAATAAATCAAATACTGTATATATAAAATAGGCAGAATAACATGTAATACAAAATGTATTATGTTTTCAGTCAAAATCGAAACTCATTCATTGTTATTTTATTAATTGTTGCATTTTTATTCGATGATTCATTGATGTTGTTTTTTTATTTTCTCATAGTTCCTAGGTATCTAACAAAACCAAGGCCGAGGTAGTACAGTTTCCTTTCAATTTTTATGCCCATTGGAAATTAGAAATGCATATATATTTTCACTGCCTCATGTATACTTGTGGCAAAAGACAACAAACTAAATTAGAACATTAAGAATCAGGTTATGATGAATTTTGTGTATTTGAGGTCAAAAAAGTGATGTCTTGTTTACGAAATTTATTTTAAACGAAAAAACCACAATTGTTTGAATGACATAATATCTCATGATCGTTTCCTTAGCACACTCATACGTTATCCACGCATTATATTGATTGAAGGCAAAATACATACTCCGTCACAAAGATTGACTCGGTAGTCATGTAGAAGGAAAGTATCATTAACCGAAATAACACGGAAGAAGGAACCATGAAAAGGCTTGTTATGATCGAGTGGTTGGTGTTCCAGAAGTTCCAGTTTTTATGCGGTCACGCTCACTCAAAAACAGCAAGATATATAGGATAAAGGGGAATTCAGGCAAATCTCTTTCATTTTTGAGACCTTCACAGTCCAGAAATGCAATGACAAAATCCCGCTTTACCACTGAAGTAATATTTATTTAATTTATTAAATAATTTATTAAATAATTTATTAATAATTTATTAAATAATTTATTAATAATTTATTAATAATTTATTAATAATTTATTAATAATGTATTAAATGTATTAAATGTATTAAATGTATTAAATGTATTAAATTTATTAAATTTATTAAATTTATTTTATTTATTTATTTATTTATTAATTTTTATAAACATGGTTGGTGAAGACAATTGGTAAATATTATAATCAAGGTAAAATTAATATCACAAATAACTAATTTTTTTCTAAAGGTGTTGTTAGCAATTTTAACCTGTATTCACAAATGGACAACACATAGATATAACCGAAAACAAATTTTATATTTTTTTATATCTGCGCACAGGAGGATTCCAGTTCACTGGAGTGTTTTGGCAAAATTTGGCAAAATTTGTTACAAAACAAAATGGTTCTAATACACACAGTTTCCCTTGGAATTGATTTTGTTAACTTTGCTGTTCTAAAAAAAAATATCTTGCATAATTCCTCAAACAAATCACTTAACAATTCCAACAATAAATTCATACTCGCCGGAACAAATATATTTTGATTCAACTTTGTATGAATGTTTGCATTAAGTTTAGCCATAGGCAAGAAACATCTGTCTACAAACAATTTCTTCTGTCAAGTAATAAACAATTTCTGTAAATATTATTAAAACATTTACAAGTACGAAGTTCATAATATTGAGAATCCATAATATTGAGAAACAAATTTGAAAATAAAATATTTATTCGCCGAGAAATTTTCAAAAAAAATGAAATGTATCCAAAACAACACATTTATGAATTATTATCATTATTAATTATTATTATTACTACTATTATTATTGTCATTATTATTATTATTATCATTATTATTATTATTATCATTATTATTAAGTATTTGACAGTACCACCAATGTTTTCCTTTTGTTTGGAGCAGTTATTACTAGCAACTGAAATATAAAAACCTAGTAATGAGCTCGGAATGAGAAAACTATAGGAAAACAAAACTTCGTAGTTTGTACTAATAGCATTTTTTTCGCCAGACACGAGCAAGAAATTTCAGAGCATGTTCACAATTAACTCCCGTAATATCTAGAAATAAGTAATGTTTTGAAGGTTTTTAATTTTTATCGAATATATTTGATGCATTGGAAAATAAGAAAAATATAGTTTTGCTTGCCTTCCATAAAATATAAATTTATTTTACAATTATCAAACGCGACGAAACAGTCAGCTGACGTTGCAGTGTGAGAAATATTTCATTGAGCCTTTTTTTATGGCGGACGTGGGAACAAACGCAACTTGCTCATCTGAAACGGCCAGGTAATCTCCCATCGCAATGCTTTCACTTCAGTCATCGCAGCCTTCCCCACTACCCTCGACATTGCTGACATAAGTGAAATAATACAAGTACTTAATCAATGACACAATCCTGATACTTTTAAAAGATGCCAAGAATTTTCATATTGCAATTGTCTAAATGAATTGTGTTCAGTTAAGTCTGCAAACATCGATGATAACGACCGGGAGTAGTTTAGCACAAGATAATAACATGACTAATTTTATTTTAAACATCCAATTTTCCTCCATCATCCTAATTTATTTTAACATCCAATGATTGCTGGGAAACGGGAGAAAAATTTCAATTAAGATATGTAACAACTGAATAGTCTACAAAAAAGGCATTTCCCCAAAGTTATGACTGCAATTTATTAAACATATCCTATTCAACAAATCGTATAACTATTTGTTTTTTATCTTCATTCTTTCTATTTGTTTTATAATTATGATTTTTTTTTCATTTTTGCTGTCCTCCGTCTCCTGGATGTAGAGTAGCACACCCTGAATTCTCACGCACCTATAAAAACAATGAGAACACGACTGGTTAAGTAAATAAAATGCACAAAAATATCAAAACAAATTGAATTCGCATATACTAAATATTGAGTTTTAAACAACCTCTCCATGACCTGTTCAAATAAATGCGGATGAGGGCGTGTCGCCGCTCGGTGACCGTGCAAGGATTATCATCCAATCCTCGTGGTCGCAAAATTCTCGAGAGAAGAGGCGTCAAACGTCCAACGAGACAGTGTAACTTTCGTCACCCGCCTCCCTCCCGTGCCGTCACTCCGGCCGCGAGA